TGACAACAAGTACTTCATCTTTGGATTGTTTGTGCTTGTTTTTCATCTTAACAGCAAAGATGGCTCTTCCTGGCCCCCGACTTACTTTTAACATTTCTTCAGTTATTTTAAGAGTCACTAAATGATTGTTCCAGTGTGAATATCAAGTTTTAATGTCACCAAAATATGAGTATTCCAAGATTTTTCCCCGTAAATTGTTTGTATGCTTTAAATTTTCCTGGGAGAGGTGCAGAAATGATTAACGACTGGTGTATGAATTTGAAAAAAAAAGTGTTACTTTGATTTGAAGGCTTCAAATTTGACACTTTTTTAATGAATTGGTTAAAAATAGCTTAAAGGACTAAAATTTGTAAAAATGCCCCAAAATCTAGTCTCTGTGGTAACAGCATCTTCAGCATGTCATGACGTCAGAACACACGGTGTAAACACACCAGATCCCGGTCCCCTCCTAACATCCTGTTCTTCTCCTGGATCAAAGGCTTTATTGAAATAAACTATAACTTTTTCCCTGCTACAAAACGATGATAATAAAAATAAAAAAATAAAAATAATAAAAAAAATCTGAAAACAGTAATCATCGTACAGTAGTAATAATGGTATTAAGACCTATGTTATGTTGTGCTAATATTTTTAATAATATATCTTATTATATAGCAAACAGATACATAGGGATAGCGTGTGGTAAAAAGATTTCATGTATCTGTCCTTATGGCAGATACTGTCCTCGTGCACATTCCTAATAATGCAGATTTTGAGTTAAGAGTGTTTGTTTGTTTGTTTTTTTACTTGACCATGGTTTTCAGACATACCTGCAGAGCTTTGTGTGTTTGCAATTTTAACATCTGCCAAGCAGGTTATGTTTTTGGTAACTTTTGCTTGCCTGTTTGTGATTGGTCAAAAATGAACTAAAATCTGCGTGGAGTCTGTGGTAAATATATTATAGTACTGTGTAAAGATTTCAAATATCACGTTACATCTGATCTCCGTACAACTGCTTTTGTACAAACAAAAGCAGTTGTACTGCCTTTGTTTGAGTTGGGGAGTCTAAATGTTACATTAGGGCTGCTCGATTATGGCAAAAATGATAATCACGATTATTTTCACTGAAATTGAGATCTCGATTATTTGACGATATTTATTTAACCCTTTAAGACCTACTATAGAACCAAGTCCGCCAGAGCTTATATTATTTTTTTACATGCTGTAGTGCCATTTTTGGGAGCATTTCAAGTTGCTATACATCAATACAACTGTTATAGCCCATATTTTAATAATATGTATGCATTAAGTCCATAGTAATTACATTAATTGCAAAAAAGTGCAATAAACTACAAAAAAATTGAAAATCGTTTTGTTTTTTTTAACATATATTTCTACTTGGGGAAATTTAAGAGGTTTATCCCTCAAAACTTTAAATACAAAAAAGTTGCAAAAAATAGTTTCCCACCACAGGAAATTTATTTTGAGTGTCTTCATAGTTTTATTTTGGAGATACAGCAATTTTTATATACTGCAGGAAAAACAAAAAACAATCCTATGATGCAAATTTGCAAAGAAAACAGCAGGTGCATCAAAATAAACTATTTCCAGCAGTGCAATTCGAGTTCTAAGCATCCCAGAAACTATTCAGAAAAGTATAGAGTCAAACATGACTTATAAAAACACCAGTATAGGCTTTTAAGGCCTACAAGTAAAAAACTACATTTTCCGCAAAATGACGTCACTTCCGGTTTCGGACAGGAAATGGCGGACATGTCTGTTTCCTGTGGGAAGTGTTACGAACAGCTGATCGGATCGGCAAAGCGTGTTTCTGGAATATTATGTTTTTGTTCCTGCAAGCGCTTTTTATGCAATTTTTGCAAAGCTTTATGTGGAAGGAAACCGTGACCGAGGACAAGCTGATGGCATAAGATGTAAGTACAACTCCTCCGGTTTCATATGCAAAACAAATTATTGCGCTAGCTTACGCGGTTCCGGTTCTACAGGGATTTAAAGGGTTAACAATAACAATGTATTGAATAATGACTTTAAAAAATAATATAAAATAGTGTGCAAATACTGATAACAGTGCAAATGTTTGCAATATAAAAAATAAATGAAAAATGTAAACATCTATGTTTAGTGAACTTTGCAGTGTTGCTCTGTGGTGCAGCTACCACACTGTAGCAAAGTTTACACACTATGTCTACTTGATCCACGTCTGACTCCGCGAACCCATAATGTTTCCACACCACTGAAGTTTTTTTTACCTCTCTTTTCAACCAACGGCAGTCACTCTCCTCTCCAAATAACTTCTGCTTAGCTTTCCGAGCTTCCCTCTGGGTCCTCTTAATTGTTGTGAGGTGTGTTCGAAATGCAGAGAGGTGCGCTTGATTTGGAGCAGCGCGAGAGTAAAGCACGAGGGAGGGGCTTATAATCGGCTCAGTCATTTTTAATGATCGTTGAAAGCCCAGATCGTAATCGAGATTAAAATTCGATTAATTGAGCAGCACTAGTTACAATTATAGTTTGCATCCACATATTGAACCTCTGATGAGGTTTTAAAACATGTTACATCGTTAATGAAAGAATTAGTTAGTTATAAATTTACTGTACTATATTTATACAATAAGCTATTCATGTCCAGTTATTGACAAATCAATACAGACATATTATCCAGTACTTACTCCAACATAGTGTTTGCATAAAGGTTTAAAAAGAACAAATAAAACAAAATGAATGTATACAAAATAAAATAGTGTTACCATAAAAGTGTAGTGTGCACAGAGTGAGCTGCCTTGGTGGAGGTTTGGTGCTCTTCTATTAAAAATGGATGCTTCACTTAATGATGTGAACTTAGTTGACATCTTTTGATCTCACATGAAAAAGTCGAAGTGTCACTCAGTCTGACATAAATGTAGCCTAAAATGCTCTTCTGTCATCATCTGCTCAAACTAACAGATGTAGCTCTGTTCCTTTAGCACTTGATGTTTATTACATTCTTAATGTTATTTCAAACTTGTTTCCTCACAGGTCGTCTCGACTACGTGGTTGAGCGTCCTGCAGAAGAAGGCCTTCCTGAGGTCATCAGGATCCTGGATGACTCTGATACCGAGCGTGTCAGTGAAGGTGAGTATGGTGAGTATATCCCTCTCCCATCCTCACCCTCTTCTCATGAAGCACAGGATCCTGATGACAGTGAAGAGGAAGGTGAGTACCCTCCCTACATACCTGAGGACGTCGAAGAGGTGAGTGAAGACACTGACAATTCCTCTGACTGGAACAACTCAGAAGAGTGGGCCGATTGGCCTAGTGACGACTCGGGGTATGACACCATGGATGAGAGAGATGATTCCCCTCTCATCCGGGAGCTCCCTCCAGAGCCGTTTTGGCACGATTGGCAACGTCCTATTGCTCCAGGTGGTGCCCCATTCGCCATGCCGCCTTTCGACCACGCCAACGACCCACTCTTCCCTCGAGTCGTTGCCCCAGTCGGTGATCCGTCAGCTGCTCCTCCTTCAGCTGCTCCTCCTTCAGCTGCTCCTTCTTCACCTGCTCTCTTATCTACTCCCTCAGCTGCTTCCTCTCCTGCTCCGTCACCTCCGCCCTCACCTGCTCCTTCTTCTTCACCTGCTCTCTTATCTTTTCCCTCAGCTGCTTCCTCTGCTGATCCTACAGCTTCTCCTTCTCCTTCAACCTCAGCTCTTACCTCCTCAGCAAAGAGAAGCAGAGAAGACATCTGCACTGATGAGGTAAGTGCAAAGAGGTGCAAGGTAAGTGATGACACGTTTTATGGCCCTTCAACATCCTCGGGTTCTGTTGGTGTCAGACGCTTCTGGGAAAGGCCTTTTAACCTTTCACTTGATGACAGCGACTCTGACTAGATTATGTTAGAACTTGTTATTAAACTTGTAAATATCTTTTAATTTTTAATTAACTTTGTAATATTTAAGTTAAGCCTTTGTGTCTTGTGATGTTTGTAAGACAGCTAACTAAGAATATCTGACTCTTAAAAAATATTAACTAACACATGTGAAATGTATTGTTTTTTTCTTAATATGTGACATTGCCTGTGTGACTGTAAGGTAGTGTTTTAGGTGTTGTTACTTCTATTTTTGTTAATATCACAGGTAACTGTTTAAATGACTTACATATTTTTTCTCAAGCTCTAGCTCACCATGCAGGACAAAGGTAAGTCCGTACTTAATGTCAACACAAATAAGTAGAAAAGGTTTAAAAATGATGTCGTGAACTGACTGTAGTCTCTTGTTTTTACATAAGGTATAGCCTGTGGCTCAGGGATCAGAGGTAAGGTAAAAACACATAACAGAAGGAAAGTAAAGTGAACAACTCTGTGATCTGTGAATTCATGCTTTTCTCTTTGTCTTTTTGTCTTCAGGTGCTTTACACTTGTCCTCTCCCAGCATTCAGCACTTCAGACACTCAACGTCCAGGACGGAGCTAACACAGAGAGATACTCCACCCAGAAGACAGCCTTACCCCAACCCGATGAGAAGGATGGATGACCAAATGACAAACTGGAGAGTGGTGCTGTGTTGCAGCTATGTAAGTTATCACCTCACATTGGCTACAAACTGTCTTGAAGACTAAATCCTTCCAATAGCTGGTGTAAATCATCGTCCTACAGTACTGTAGGTTTAAGTTTATTTATAGTTATTGTGTGTATATGTTGAGTGTAAAATAGCATTTTAACAACATGCTGCAGCTACCAACAATGGAAATGCTGTTTTGTGTTAAAATGACGTCTTTCTCGTGTTATTGCTTTGCAGGGCAGCTGAGAGTGGACAGAGCTGCACAGAGGACCAAAGATCCACTCTCAGCACTTCATACCTGACTGGCCACAGCACCACCCCTCTTCACCCAGGGTGAGGAGGGTCCTGACCCCGCCTGCACAGAGGGAGTTGTGAACATGCACTTCTGTGTCGGTGGGTTTAGGATCCTCCTCACACTCACACTGATGAAGACTGTCACTGGAAGATGTCTCCATTGCATCAGCAGGACGTAAGCATTTGTAAAATATTACAGTTTGTGATGTTTTATACATGTTTTTATTGCTTCACTTCAAACTAGGAGATATAAAATAAACCAGTTTTCATAATATTTTCTGTGTATTTAGTTGTTTTCTTAATAAGTTATTTGGAACATCATTGCAACCTGTCAGCTTTTTATTGAGGATTTAGAAAGTTGCTGGTGGCCCGAGTGTGTAGAGTGGGGTGTTGTTTTTGTCACATGGTGAAAGTGACCTCAGGGGGAGCAAAAAGAACAGCTGAACAATTTGGGGATTCACAGACTTTGGTAATCGTTAAAAAATGAAGAAAAATAGTTCTGTGTGAACAAGAAGCTCAAATATAAACCATCCTGACACACTGACACAAATGATCTGCTATCAGTGTTTTCATGAACCTGGGTGAAGGTAATCTGCATGAGTTTAACCTCCCTGTCAAAAACCTGCATGATTCTGTTAGCACTGCAACAATGAGGTCTTGCTCGAGCTACTGATGAAGCTTTATCAATGCTTGTTAAGTTTCCAATCACATTTTATCCCGATGGTCCAAGGCTTACATCTTTATGCTCACAAACGTACTTCTGTAATTAATCAGTAACCAATTTATTACTTTAAGTTACAGTGTGAGGGGCATTAATGAACATAAATTAGATTTAACCTTCAGAACTGCCTTAATTCTTTGTGGCCAGATTCAACAAAGACCTGGAAACATTCCTCACAGACTTAGTTTCATATTGACATGATAGCATCACACAGTTGCTTCAGATTTGTCGGCTGTGCATCCATGTTGCAAATCTCCTGATCCACCACATGCCAAAGATAATCTGCAGGATTGACATCCGTTATAAGATGAGTATACTGTGGTCATAAAACGATGGACATGGTCAGCAGCACAGCTCAGGGAGGTTGTACCTCTGGAGAGGCCTCTTCCTACACCTGAAGTTTTTACCAGTGAAAAGAACAGGTTTCCTCACAGTGTTTCCTAGTGTTTCATCAACAAAGGAGAATTTATTCCTCAGACTGTGCAAAATTGCATTCATGGTTATCCTGCTGCGAGGGCGAGCTCTGAGATGGGCCCAAGCCATGCTTGCTCCTCAGCAGTCTTATTTAACCTGTATGTGGAAGACTGCTCCGACTCTGGAGAAGGAGTTATGCTTTCTGTTTTTTTTAGTAATGATACTTGTAATAAATGTAGCCTTTCGCAGCTCTGGAGGCCTGGATACTAACTGGACACTCGAATCCACCCTTGAAAACCCCGTAGCTTTTCAGGCCCCTGTAGCCAGAGCAGTGGAAGGTGGCGTAGGCCCTGCTAACTGTCTCCCAGCAGGTTATCCTGAGCAGACGGGAAAACATGATGGCTGGGTGACGGTGAGGAGGAAGCATAGTCTTAAACAGAAGCCCTGACGACAAACCTGTTCATGTGTCTGTTTCCCCACTCGCAACACCCGCCGGATCAACTCTGGTAATTGGTGATTCTGTTCTGAGACAGTGAAGACAGCAGCAACCATAGTCAATTGTGGACGGTGATCTGTTATTTTGTACTCTTTAGCTGTATGCACATACTGTTGTTTCTTTCAGTATTCAACCTTTTCCATTTAAAGTTTCATTAAATATCAAAAATGATGTTTTGAGACTTTAATGCAGAATCAAAAAAAGAAAAAGTATTTTTTTTATTTAGAAACATTTAAAGAGCATCATTTTACACACACACACACACACACACACACACACACACAAACACACACACACAAACACACACACACACACACAAGCACACAACAGTCACAAACGTCTTTGTTGTTGTCTTAAAGCTCGTCTTTGGTTTTGTTGGCTTTTTTTGCCTCCTCAGCTTTCATGGCCTCGGTGTACTTCCTCCTGTCTTCATCCTCCTGGATACACAAAGGAGAAAAGTATATTTTTAACTGAAAGAAAAAGGCAGCTCTCAAACACACAGACAGCTATAAAAACACACAAAGGCACAAGTGTAAGGATGATCATTCACCTTAGCTCTGTATTTTTTGGCTTTCTCCATCTCCTTCTCTACAAACTTAATCAGGGGTTTCAGCTTCTTTTTTCCAGTGTAAACCACCACCTACGACACAGACCACAGAGATCTCACTGTAATGAGCCTGGTTTCCTCTAAAGAGCAAATAATTCCTTTTTTAAAATCTGTTTTTCGTGATGATATCATAGGCTTTAATAAAAACGATTAATCGCCTCATAATTGCCTCGTACCCTTTCAGCATACAGAGCAGGAAACAAGCAGAGGGATGGGTACGTGCCCTGCACTGACAAGTTGATATCATTGGCTGAAGCATCGATACGAGCGATGACCACGTCCTCGCGCTCCTCAAAGGCCTCAGCTAGTTCCTCCCACAGCGGAAACACAGCGCGGGACTCTTTACTGTAGGGCAGATCTTCAACACAAACACATACGATTACTTTAGGAAGCTCTCTATGTTTGCACTTTTAATCACAACATAAATTTGAACTTTCCTTGTATCAAATGCCCTAAATAAGGGCATCATTTTTTTTAATCTGTCAAATTTCATCACATTGTTTGGGATGTATCTCTGCAGTCTGTCTATGGATCTTAGATAGAATTTGAGTGATGGTTTTAGCTGAACTACATAAAGGATTGGCACAGACTTGGTTGCTTGTGTTGGTTTGCTCATTTTCTGAAAGGTTAACTGATCATTGCATTGAAGGGGACTTCTTCAAGTGTTTGTATTGCCTGGGAGATCTGTTCAAACACTTTTTTGACTCATCATGTTAGAGAATCTTTTTCCTTATACTCTCAGGGCCCTTTAAATACACTGAACAACTCAAATCATGTGCGTTTTCAACCTAAAGGCTTGAAGGTGCTGTTTAGCTTATGGGATTCAGAGGGTGGTTGCCAATTTTAGTCACCAATGACTCTCAGTATAACTTAGGGCCCTCTTTAAAAAGAAAAACAAATTAAAGCATGACATTAAAATGAACAGTGTTTACATACAAAACAGGACAAAAACAGTCTTGTCTGGGTTAAAGGCAACTTTCTCCAGATTCATCCCCACCAGCTCCTTCACTGGTTTTTGGTCCCATCCTTCAGGTATCAGCTCGCTCTGCATCTTAGGCTGTTAGAGATACACAAGTCCATTAAACACATAAAGACGAGCTGCCTCCCGGGTTCTGTCTCTGTGCCACACAGCAGAGGTGAGTGGGACTTACCTTGGCTTTGCCCTCGAGGTAGTCCTGGCAGAACCTTTCTATGATCTCTACGCTCAGGGCGTCAGAGGGCAGATGGTAGGTCACGTGATTTGACAGGTTAACCAGTCGGATTAGGGGAGCCTCAAAGTCCCGCACCCGGAAGTACTCCATCATTCTGCCATTGCGAAGCTCAGCCACGTTCACCAACACAAACAAAATCTGACACACAAACATATACAGCCCTCAGATGCTCCTGTACATCACAACAAGGCGGCAGGGCCAGGAGGCAGCCTGGGATCAAACCACCGACCTTCGGATTAGTGGCTGACCTGCTCTGCCACCTGAGCTACAGCTACCCCGTAAGAATGCCCTAAACAGTATGGTCAAAAACAAAGGAAAAATTAAACTAAATCTATGTGCTGTATTCATTCTTATCTCACTCTGGGACTAGAGTAAGGGTCAGATAGGGTCATTTGTTTATGATTTGCTGTTCTGCAGCCAAACTGCTCACAAGACCTTAGTAAAGAACTGGTTCGGGTAAAAAGTAGGTTTAAGGTGAGGATTAATGTTATTTATGCGATCGAGTCAAGGTCAGGGTCTGAAAATACATTATTATTGACCTCAAAAGCACAGACATATGTTAGGTACCTTCATCCTGAATGTCTCTGCAGCGGTGCTGAAGGTAGAAAAAATCTCATCAAAGTCTTCTGAACTTTTGTTGACAAAGAGAAGAGCGTGGTTTAACACAGGCGAAGATAAGATCTGAGAGGCTGTCTGCAAAAGGAGACAAAGCGGTTCAAACACTTAAGCAGTGAAGCTGGATTTCAGCTGGTGCTAATGTTAAGGCAATTCAGCACATTTTTAAGTTCAATGGACAGAGCCCTCTACTGACTGAGATGATATAACAGGTGCAAATGAGGATATTAAGTTGTAATTGAGCCGCTAACTGCAAAGGCAGGAGGTGAAGGTGGATAAAGAGGACAACAAACTCCAGCTCTGTGTGCCAAAGCTCCAGTGCATCCATCAGAGTGTGAACGCATGTGATAAAAAGCACTTAAACTTCAGTTAAAGTGCTGTGCAAACTCATTCAGAGTATAAAAACACCTTTTAATATGGCGTCATGTATGCCAAAGAGGTGGATAAATATTAAAATTGATTTTCAACATAATGCGATCCAGTACCACCACCACCACCCACTACGACCTCAGTGATAAAGATAAAGTAGAATAATCACCTTTCGGGCAATGTCAACAATAGACTTATAAAAGTTTATGGCAGAAGAGCTGCATTACACTGCAAGGTGCAAGGTGCTCGGTGGGTGTAGCCTACATGAAAACAGCAATTAGATTTCAGTCAGCAGAGATTTTCCCTGAACACCATCCCAGTGGATTCAGACCAAACCGTTCCTACCGTAGCTGTTGTATATGTGTGAAAATACACCATGGACACAACACTGTACCTGCCCGGTGTACTCAGTGACTGGGTCCATCTGGTAGATCGTGATAAAGACAATCAGGACCCCTTTAGATGTCTCGGGCGTCATTTTGTAAGCCTTGATGAGCTTAGACTGCAGTGGGCACACACACAGACACACAAACATACATGGTATCACAGGTAAGACTATAACCAACAAGTCTGCTTCATATATTTATGCTTCTTTTGTAAAACTCTGGATGCAACATCAAGATTTCTTTCAGTTATGATGTCTTTTTGAAGGCTCACAGTGAGGTTTATGTTTAAAATCTCACTCATGTTTTATGGCATTCACCCTCAGCTAATTTCTCTTAACTAAACAGAACTAAAAACTAACTAAAGAACTAAAACTTTTCTTCACATAGAGCAATGTCACAACTAGTATTGTTTTTGTGAACCGGTGTGTTTGTATGTGTTGTGCGTGAAGAACCTTTTTGAGCATCAGAACAACATCGTGTGTGTGGCCGTATTTGGCGATGACGTCATCGTCCTGCGTCACCACAAACCTGACGTCAGGAAGCTCGACCGCTGTGGCGTAGAACACCTGGACGTACTCGTGGTTCAGCTCCTGCTCACACGCAAACGCACAGAAACTGTCGGAGTGCGGTAGATGCACAACATAATAGAGAAGGGAAATCAAGCGAGGCTTTTGTTTTACCTTAAAGAATCCAACCACTGTCACCTCTTCTGAGGCCTCTGATTGGCTGAGATCAGTGACGAGGTCAGCAGCTGACCCTGCCCTCCGTTTCAGCCAGGTCAAGATGGAAGCCGAGCTCTGAGGAACTTCAGGACAATCCAAGATCACAAATCACTTTACTGTTAATATTTTACCCAAAACAATTAAGATTCAACAGCTGAGGGGATCCTAATAACTCCTGGTGCTCTGCAGGAAATATGAAACAACAGCCAGTAAACTCTAACCACTGGTGTTTCACAACAAATGGCAGGCTAGTTAACTCAAAGAGACACATATCTGAAAAGTTCAAGGCAAAATTTAATGACAGGGTGTCAGCTTTAACAACTTAACTGCAGCATGTGCCTCTTTCATCCTGATCTTTTCGCATGTTTCCAGAATAAGAGCAAACTTTCATACAAAAAATGCAATTAAAATTTGTGCTGGATAACTTTAGAGATATATGGTTCATATGAAAACATAATGACTCCAGCCAGGGCTTTCACTGCTGTTTTTATTACCCAGCATCTAGCCATCGGTGGTGCCAGCGAACATCATAATGAAGTCAGAGCACTAGAGGACAAAGCCCTCGAACAGAGGTAGAGGAAGAATCAAACCAAAGCATCTCTTTGTTTCTCTATTGTTTCCTAATAATCAGAACCCTGATTTTTCATTGTCACATGATAAAATAAGTGTGGATCATTTATTTTTCAGCAGTATGCCATATCTGGAGCTACTCCTCTGGGTCATGTCATATGATATACATCGTTCTTGTTAAAAGAATAAATGAGATGAATGAAACTCTTCTGCACCTACCAGGGCAGGCTACTGGGTTGTGTTTATCTCCGGAGAGGTACAGTCTGATTACCGGGTGGCCCGTCGCGTTCAGTTCTTTAGCCAGGTCCTTCTCTTTTGACACATCAACCACTGCCAGCTTGACCTTTGACCCCTTGAGCTCTGCTGCAGCTCCTTGGAAAGCTGTAGACACGCGCTGGCTTTCTCCCGACAGAGGTGCAACTGACAGACACGCAGAGGAAATGAGGATTTGATTTCTTACACACCTTGCAGTCGCCTGTTTGTGCGCTTATCATATGAAAGTATGAAGGTCAAAGGTCATGCTGTACGAGGCTTGATGTTTAACTTACAGAAGTGCACCAGGAGTTGGTCATGCTTTCTCAGCGCCCTTTTGAAATTCCCCTTCTTCAGCTGTAACACTCCGTCTTTCTCTGGGAACTGTTTGTCTTCCTTCGTGTCGGCGGCGACGCATACGCCGAGACAGAAGGCCGTCACGCACAGCAGCAAAAGCCTCTTCATGGCGGTTCAGTCTCACACTGACAAACTTGGCGGGAGTGGCGAAAGGGAGGTCTGATGTGTGTATCAGTGCCGAGGAGGTATAACTGTGAATCCTTGCGTTATCTGCCGCCTGGACCCAGCAGCCTATAGCTGATTAACTTTCCTATCTGAGCACTGCTGTATGTCTGCTATTGGCTGCTGTTCATATCAGGCTCTAGTATCTAAACGCTAAACCCTAACTTTGTTGCCTGTACAAGGTCACACAGCAGACATAAAAGAGGAAGTTACTCACACATTTGTTGTTTGTGTTCATATGCAAAGTGCACCCATTTGCCCTCGAAAATACATAAATGCATGTTTTGTTTTTGGTCCGCAACGAAACATGACCTCAACTTGGCAGAGATACTAAACATTCACTACAGCATTAAAGGCAGGGAAAGAAAGCCCATTTATCACTTTATTTAACAGCCTTTTCATTCTTGATCCCACACTGTCATATCATTTTATCACACTGTTTTTATACTGGACTTAACAGAGGGTTAGATAACAAAAAAAATGTCCGCACAACAATTGCATGGTTAGCTTAGCTTAGCATTAAAGAATAGAAACAGCACCAGGATCACTTAAGCTGGCAAATTATGTTCTATAAAAACTGTTTAATCATAATGAGGTAAGTAAGAACGTTTTATCTGGTGATATAAACAGCAAAATACCAGAAAACTGCTTAAAAATAGATGAGTACCCTCATTACCTGCAGCTAGCTTGAAGTTTGAAATTGTTTTCATCTGCAAGAGTAGCTAATTTCGGCTGTTAGTAAATGTTAGTCAGTTCCGTTTATACTGATCAACAAGCCTTCTAGTTTCTGAGCTGTGTCAGGAAGGACTGATAGCTATCTAGCTGCAAAATCTTTTCAAACGATGCCAAAGCCAGGTAAGATATACAAGTTGTGTTTGTCTACTCCACATTTACAGTCCAGGTAAGATACCTACAAGTGTGCTGAATCAAAATTGAAAAGGGTAACTGCTAATACACACCTCCTTTATTCTTTAATAGACCTCATTTTAAAATCTAACATTGGTGCAGAGTCAAAGGTAATGGGATTAAAAATAAAATCACTACTGAAATCAAACAAACTACTACACTGACAGAAGTTACACATACAGTTACTATAAGGAAGCAAATAGTACACCTTCTGTCAGCTCGAAGGTTTTGCATATCAGGATTTAACAACAACAAGTACATCCCATGATTCAGTAGCTTGTAGAACCACCTTTAGCAACCGCAAATTACAGGGAGTCTTGCAAGTAAAATCCGCTTTCAGAAAAATATTTTCCAAAACGTAACTTTCCACAGTTGGAGCAGGTCAAAACAAGTCCAATAGCAAGTGTAAAGGGACGAATGGAACCTTGTGCAGCATTTATATACCCTCGGCAGGCCATGGTTAAGGTTGCCAACATGTGTGTACACATGAACGTGATAGAACTCACTGCAAGGTAATTAACAGTTAATTCACTTGGCGTGCCAAATCGCAGCTTTAGCTTTAGCCTAGCCTGCCGGTTAGTGTCTAGAGGGCCGAGATCGATTCCCCGGTGTGAAAGCACTTCCAATTTTTCCTAATTCATTTTCCAATCACATATTGTACACATGTGAACATTCCCAAGTGTGTTTTAAAACTCCCACTTCACAGGCGGGCCAGACCGCAGCTTTAGCTTTAGCCTAGCCTTCTGGCTAGTGTTTCCTTTACAGGACCTGTAGGGCCTTGATCAATTCCCTGGTGTGGCAGCACTTTCAGTCTTTCTTAATTTATTTTCTGATCACATATTATCAACACGTGAACATTCCCAAGTGTCTTTTGGTGTCTCAGCCATGTGCTTTTAAACGTGCCAGGTCGCAGCTTTAGCCTTGCCTAGCAGCTAATGTTTCTGGTTTGAGAGCTTTGAGTGGCCCAAAAGGACTGGATTGGTTTTAATGTAGTTAAAATAACACAGTCATAAAGATACTTGAAAAAACGGGTCATTATTAAATTTGACATATAACCCTTTCGTAAATCATGTTCAAAGACTATTTATCAATATAAGTAAAAACATTACACATAAAAAACACACTGAAACGCTGGAAATCAGTTTTTGGTAAACAATGACTTTTTGGCACAATGCTGGAGGTAAAACAGGTATGATCCTTCATATCTGGAGTGTGAAGGTGCAGACACAAATTCAGACCTGGGATGTTTTAGAATAGAATTTAGAATTTCTCTGGTTCGTTAGCTTTAGTCAGATAATCACTCAAGATTAGTTCCCAAGTCCTCCTGAATTCAAAGAAATATTCAGGGGCTGTGCTTTCCCACAGGTGAACTCAGGTGAAATGAAATAAGTAGTGGATGCCCTCCTCCTCCGGTACAATGATAACTCAGAAAAGGTCCTTGGAGTAAGGAGATCAGGCTCAGAATTGATTCTTTCTAAGAATGTATATCTGTATTTATAAATGACATATTAAGGATGAATAATGCTTAAAGAATGAGGAATTAAACAGTGACTAATGACACATTTAACAATGTGTCATTGTTATCCACTATTCTATGGATGTTTATGAGTACAAGATCCGTTTTTTCTGTCAAGTAACCTAAAAGATGACTGACTGCACCTTTAAAAATACTAACTTAAATAAACCAAGATAACCCAGCAGTCCATAGGAAATAATCTGTGCACTATGTCACTAACGTTATTGTCACTGCAAATTTAAAAGTAAACATAAATGAACCAAAGTGGAAGTGACATGACTTTGAAGACAGATGTGATCAGGTGGAAAGTGCAGAAAGCTGACTGATGTCGATCTGTCGCTGCATTAAATGTTGGTCTGTCCTGTATTAGGCATTCAGGATATTCTTTTGATGGCCCTTTAGCTCTTATGGCATGAACTTGCTCAGTGCATTATTATTTGCTTTTCTACAGTCTGATATTTGTTTAATAATTGATTGATACAGTTTGTTGAATAAGTGCATAAATAAGATGCTAAAAACCTCCTCATCATATCAAACATGATAGATTTGGGGGGAGTTTGTTTGGCACATGCTGACTGCATTCTAATTATAACCAGAACAGGAGGCGAGAGCAGAGAACAAGAGTGCAGCAGTTTGGTGAAAGGAACAGGTGAAGAAGAGGTGAGCATCCAAGAGACGAGCAAGAGGACAGTTTCAAAGCAGACATTATGGCACAATAAAAGCTGTAAGAGCAAATAAAAAGCTGTGAAAAAGAAGCACGCACACTCCTCATCCCTCCTCTATATATCGTTTTAGCCTTTTAGTAACACTGGGCCCGTAGAACTTACAAATAAATCACAGAATCATCCACAAAGAAGCCCAACGAAACCACGAAAAAACATACCAAAATGCACCCCCCTTAAATCTTTCGGCCACTTCGCCACCAGATAATAAAAAACAACTCTATAGATAGAGATTGTGACAGATTCCATGTAACTGCGACCTATAGAAAATTTTAGAAAATCAATAAGTACATTAGAAAAAGGTCTATCTAGCTGAGTAAAAACAATAACCAAAAAAGAATATTACAAGGTCTGGAATAATACAGCGAAAACCCGATAGTTAATAAGGTGCTAGCAGTGCAAAAGCATCGTAAATTTATGGCCACAATTTTAAAGATGAACTGAGCTTTCTGACCAGGTGCTGATTGCAGGGGGGACCACTTAAGTTGCATTGAAACTGTTCTAAAATAGCCAGTAAATTGATCTATAAGACAAATAAAAAAAAATAACCAACTGGGTGTAATGAACTCCGCATTAAATAATAAATAACCAGAAGCTAAGACCTGGATCAACAAAAGCTCGAACATGTAAGTTAGACCCCTGTGACGGCCCGTCCATGATAGTCTCTATCTATTGGTGACTGTGTGTAAATGATCAGTTTAGACAGTTTTGTTTTGGAGGTCCTCGCAACAAGCCAGTAGAGAAGACAGGTAAAAAGCGTGATAGACAATAAACAAATAACTCACGCTCCACACACACGTGGTGCGCATGCCAAGAGCCCCAACGCCAAACTAAGAAATTGAGTAGACTCAAATACGGCTGTCAGGTACTTCCGGCATGGGGTGGGAGATGTTTGATACAACAGGCGAACTGACAGACTTAGCGCCAGCATTCTACTGTCAGACTCACCACCTTCCATGGGTCCAAAGCGCGCCCACTATAAGACTAGACAGCTCGGCACCCTTCATAGCACCTCCCAGCACTAGTTCCAAAGGTTACAGTCTTCCTATCCCCAAGTCATGAGAGCTAACTGCGGAAAACCGACACCGTAAAGATGGCCTGAAGGGCACACAACCACAAGAAATTATACAAATAAAGACAAGCGCTACAAAAAAAACCCCCCAAAATAGCGAAAACCGAAGAAGAACTGCACTTTCATGTTGTTGAGGAATATCTGCCACAAACGTTTAGTATTTCATGGAAAAATAACAACGAGTCTAATAATTGAAATGAAACAATAGACATGCATTCCTCAAAAAAAATAACTTCTGCTCAAGTCATGGAAAATAACACGTCTTATTGATGACATGACATCATTTCAAATAACTTTGTCAGGTCAGTAAATAACTGCCACATAAGTATAAATCTAAATCGTGCATGTGTATTATAAAAAAAAGCAAAAACAGTTGTGCTGTTTGTTCATAATAAATGGGTAGGGGTGCATAGTCCTCTGCCACAGACAGAAGCATCACAAATGTGCGCTGGGAGCTTCATGGCATGGAGTTCTACAGCCAAGCAAATCTATATGTATGTGGCCAAGAACCTTAGTCCATGTAGGGCATCTTAGCACAGTTTACTTGTGTCAGTTAGGTCAGCTAGTGGGAGGGCAGAGAGGGCAGCCTTTACATTATTTTATTGTAGAGTGACAGGAACTGCCTATGAGCTTCTAATCAGGCAGAAATATTGACAGAAAATATATCAAAGGAAATACATTGATGAAAATCAAAGAAGAGAAATATTTATGTGATGTTCCATTTTCCTGAGAGCTGATTGGCTGTGATGACTCCTTCAAGTACTACATGCTACTTTGTCCTGCTAGTTAGGCTGTCTGTTCTGGCTGCATATTAGAAGGAAAAGAAACCAGAGAGGGCTCCCCCTGCTATAGTATCCTCAGGAAATGCAACTTTCAGTTTTATAACTAATCATCTCTATACTAGTATTAAGCACAATATGTCAAAACACAAAACCCAAAAAAAAAGGCAAGGAACATTCCGTGATGTAATTTAGCTGTCTCGATATTAGATGCTTTAGAAACTCACCAATATCTGGCCAGCGGCGCGCAACACCGCTAAAGCAGCTTATAAGGCATATATAGGACCTAAAGCCTTCCAAGGCCAGTCGCTCTTCCCAATGCCTGGTGGGAGGCCTGGAAAGGGCCGGGGGCTTCATCGAATATGGCCCCAATGGCCGTAAAAAAAAGGAACAACAATATAAATTTTTCTTAATTCATTTTCTAATCACATATTGTCAACACGTGAACATTCCCAAGTGTGCTTTGGCTCCCACTTCACTGGCTGGCTAAGGTTTAGCTTTGATCGTGGCAGTTTGTCTTCTAATCGGAAGGTTCCCGGTTCGAGCCCCGGCTCTGACAGTCTCGGTCGTTGTGTCCTTGGGCAAGAGACTTCACCCGTTGCCTACTGGTGGTGGTCAGAGGGCCCCACGGTGGCGCCAGTGTCCGGAGACCCGAAGATATACGACACATCATGTCACAGTAAGAAATGCCCGGGCAGCCTGGTGTGCATACCAAAAAATGCCCATTCATGC